AGTGCTGGGATTAAAGGTGTGCGCCACCACCTCCCGGCTGGAGATTTCTTTTAAGATTTATTTTGTTATTTATGTGTATGCCGGTGTTTTGGTATGTATGTAACTGTGTGGGGGTAACTGAGAAAGCCAGAAAAGGATCTCAGAAACCCTATAGTGGGTTACTGACCATTGTAAGCCACCTAACAGGAGCACTGGGGACTGAACTTGGGTTCCGTAGAAGAACATCAAATACTTATAACCGCTGATCCATCTCTCTAACCCCAGGATTTTTATTTCTGAAAACCTGATCAACATTGTTACTATAGTCTGTGGGAAAACCTGGGCTCTGAGGCTAATCCATACAGTGGACATGCAAATAGGAAGTATCTCATTTTACGGGACCCTAGAGAGGATGGTGGAACTTGTTCAGGGTGCCTGGCCTGTTTCTGAAGTCAGGGTGACATGAGCCATGGGATGGGTCATGGCAGATTCTCCGGGTGAGGAAACTTAGACCTGGGGGCTGCTGGCCCTCCAGCTGCACAGGACTCATCCAGGAAGAAGGCAGGCCTGTCGATGAGCCGTGCCTGACCCTGGAACCACCATCAGTTCAGTACTGATGGGCATCTGACACCAAGGACACAGAAGGCTTGCAAAGGGCAGAGGCCACCACACAGCATGTCAACAAGGTATATAAGGCCCAGGCCCAGACGGGCCTCATTCAGTTCCAGCCTTTGAGGGGCGCGGCCACCGTCTGACCCACTGAGAGAGACAGTCGTCCCCTCCTTCCTGTGGCTTGTGCAGCCCATGCCTCCAGGATGCTCTCCATCCTAGCAGCCTTCCAGGACAGGGCCTGGAAGTCTGTCAGCCCACGGAGGCTCCAGAGCACAGGACAGTGGAAGACCAAGAGCTGCTGTGGGGCCTTCCTCTGCAGTCAGAACTACCACTCCTGTGGCTTTCAGGATGTTTGGTGGCAGCTGCTGGGACCTCCTCACTCCCTCACTAAGATGTGTCAGCAGAGTGCCTGCTGGGGCCTGGGGCAAGAGGGAGCCGAGGCCAGGCACTACAAGGCATCGTTCTGCGGTCCCACTTGGAAGGCATGCATGCCCTTGGCAAGTTCCTGCCTCAGATCCCAGGGTTTTCTTCCCAGAAATGAGTGGTAGAGCTGAGAGCTTTGTGCTGCAGCTGGAATCGGCCGGTGTCACTTGGCCAGGGGTCCATGCTGAAGCGCCACAATCGCCATAGCAGATGTAGCCCGATCCTCTCCTCTTCCTCCCGCAGTACTGATCTCTCCCCGCTTTCTCACTGCAGGAAGTTCTACTACATCACTCTGCTGCGAGACCCAGTATCGCGCTACCTGAGCGAGTGGCGACATGTACAGCGTGGTGCCACATGGAAGACCTCACTGCACATGTGCGACGGGCGCACGCCAACCCCAGAGGAGCTGCCGCCCTGCTACGAGGGCACAGACTGGTCAGGCTGCACGCTGCAGGAGTTCATGGATTGCCCCTACAACCTGGCCAACAACCGGCAGGTGCGCATGCTGGCCGACCTCAGCCTGGTGGGCTGCTACAACCTGTCCTTCATCCCCGAGAGCAAGCGGGCCCAGCTGCTGCTGGAGAGCGCCAAGAAGAACCTGCGCGGCATGGCCTTCTTCGGCCTCACCGAGTTCCAGCGCAAGACGCAGTACCTCTTTGAGCGGACGTTCAACCTCAAGTTCATCCGGCCCTTCATGCAGTACAACAGCACCCGGGCGGGCGGTGTGGAGGTGGACGAGGACACTATCCGGCACATCGAGGAGCTCAACGACCTGGACATGCAGCTGTATGACTATGCCAAGGACCTCTTCCAGCAGCGATACCAGTACAAGAGACAGCTGGAGCGCAGGGAACAGCGCCTGCGCAATCGCGAAGAGCGCCTCCTGCATCGCTCCAAGGAGGCGCTGCCGCGGGAGGACCCGGAAGAGCCCGGCCGCGTGCCCACCGAGGACTACATGAGCCATATCATCGAGAAGTGGTAGTGGTGGCAGGGGCAGAGAGTGATGGGCAAGATTTCATGGGGCCAGCAGTTCTTGCTGATTGGCGTCGAGGGGAGCGTGCTGGTAGATCACCCTAGACCTTTGATGGGCGAGGTGGGACCTTTGGGACAGGTGGCCTCCCTGCTCTCCTGGCCCCCATGTCACACTTAAAACTGAAGATTTGAAAAAGACTCTCGAGGGGACGTGTCTGCCCAGCCAGGAGCCCCACACCTACTATGCACGCACTGGCTCCAATGACCAGCCCCTCTAGGAACATATGACTAGCTCCTAATAGTTCATCTAAAGCTCCTTGGCCTCTGGGGACCCTAATAACCCAGAATCTCGGGGAGCCTGTTCCCTGAGAACACAAGCGAATCTCTGTGGCGTCCTCAGACCTGGAGTTCCCCCTCCTCCTTACCCATCACAGGGTCAGCCCCAGCCATGGCAGAGAAGAGTCCACGTCTGGCACCTGGCTGCTGCACTCTCTGGGCCATGATCAAAATCCACAGTCCATCCTGGCTTTGAGGAGCCAGGCCCAGGCAGGAAAGGGATGGACACCAAGAGTCTCCCACACACACACACCAGTCCCTGTGCTTTCTGATCCCCCACTGCCCCCAGCCCTGTCACTGGGACATTTATACAAGGGCTCATGTGCCACTGTTCCCACCACCATACCAGCAAGTCTTCAGTCCCATGCATAAAAGCATCCCGTGGCTGGGATACAGGGCCACACCAACCTGAGCTGATACTGAATGGCCAGGATGGGGACTTCCCCATCCTCAGCTAAGGTTGGAAGGAACAGCTCTGAATGTCCTTTCTGGGGCCTGGATGCACAACCCTCCCCGCCCTGGCTCTCGCTCTCTGCATCTTTCCGACCCTTCAAAGTCTGACCAAGCTATCTCCAGCAGCCCTGTGGGCCAGCCAGTGTCCCTACTAGAAGCCATGTCGCGTATCTGTTTTTAAGCACTTGCCCAGTGCCCCATCCCTTGTGTTCTCTAGGAGGCCCTGGTGGGCCCACCACTTACTTAGTGGAGGTGTCATGACTTTTTCAGCCCATTTGCATGCAGACAAGGGTTGTGAGCTGACCCTGAGGCAGGACAGGGCCTACTCGCTGTCTCCGTCTCGCTCAGCACTCAGGCTAAGAAGGGGTGGGTTACCGCAGACAGGAGTAGGGGCCATATGTAGCATAGCAATATTCCAGATGTTGACAGGTGTAGCCGCTGCCCCAGAGCAATGGCTTCGTCTTCACATGTGGGTGGTTATAGGGTCTACACTCAGGCACCAGGCACTTGACCTTGGGGTCCACAGGCAAGATGAGTTCTGATAGGCACCATCCGGCCCCATCCAGGGCCACCTTCATGGTGAATGATCACACTGGGTAGCAAGATGAGTTAGGCGGTCAGGACCACTGTGAAAGGGATTGGCTTAGACACTCGGTTTAGAGCAGTTATACTTCTGAGAGGAGCTTGGCATATTTGGGGAGCCCTGGGGTCTTTCACAGGTCGTGTTGGTTGTTGCCAGCTTCTGTCAGGAAGTACCCCATCTCCACATGGCCCCCCCTCACCACTTCCTGTGTATGTGACCCAAACATGGATCTGTTCTATACATACTAGAATATGTTTTAACTTACGCCCCGCCATCCTGACTCACGGAAGCACGGGTCACTTCTCTATCTCTGCTGCGTTTGAAAAATAGTCCCTCCCATCTCAGGCCAGCGCCAGGCTGAGGAATCCTCAGTCCCTTGACTGTCCACCCCTGCCTAAGGCTCAGGCCACCAGCTTTGGGGCACAGCTTCCTGGTACTCAGCATCTCAGAATAGGGTGCTTCCCCGTCCCTCCAGCTCCAAGGACTCTGCCTACCCCTGGGGCTGAGAGGCCATGCAAAGGCAGCAAGCTAATAACTCAGTCCCGAGGCACCCTGCAGCCCTGCAGACACCCCCTCTTGGAGTGAGCGGGAAGCGGGGACCACAGAACTGTCCAGGCACCGCGTCTGAACTGGAACTGTTTCACTTGAACCCGGGAGCTTTAAAGCTTTATTTATTTATAGCTTCTTATTAAAAAATAAAAAGTGTTGAGAAGGAATCTTTTTGGTTATTCATACAGAGCAATGAATTGACGGCGGAAAAGCAACTGGTTGTCTTCTAATTGTCTTTGTCTAGGTGGAGAATGAACATTAGCAGATGAAATAAACCCTGAAAAGGTCCCCGTGTGCTGTGGTCTGTGCTAATCCCTTCCAGGCATGGCAAATGCCAGCATCCTAGGAGGTTAGCAGGGGTGCAGGTGACCCGGCCCAAAGAGGGTGCTGGTAAAAACAAACCACAAAGTGTAGAAACATCATTTATCACAGCATGTAGGCAGGTGAGGGGGGGAGCTGTCACCAACAACAATGTCAGTACCATCTGTCGTGACTTCCTCTGCTCGGTGTTAACTTGGAAATGTTTCAAATGGCAAAGGGAACGATGGCCCAGATACTCAGTTGGCAGAGTATTTGTCTCGCATGATGCAGGAAGCCTGGGTTTGATTCCCAGCACTCAGGAGGTGGAGGCAGGAGAATCTATCCAAGGTCATCCTTGGTGACAGCAAGTTGGAAGTCAATGGTGTAAAACCCTGTGTCAATAAAACTAAGCTTACTCTTTGTTATAAGAAAGCACAAGTTAATAGAAAAGACTTTAGGGGCTGGCGAGATGGCTCAGTGGTTGAGAGCCCTGGTTGTTCTTCCAAAGGACCTAGGTTCAATTCCCAGCATGGACATGGCAACTCAAAACTGTCTGTGATTCCAGTTCCAGGGTATCTGACACACAGATATACATACAGGAAGACCACCAATGTACATTTTTTAAAAAATGGGGGGTTTTTAGAAAAAAAAAATTTTTTTTAATTTTTTAAATCTTTTTAAAGAAAAGATTTCATGTGGAAGGAGCGAGAACTGTTCTCAGAGACCATCAGCTCCATGTTTCTTCCTTATCTGTTGCGGGTAACTCAACACCATGACTGAGTCACAAAGAACAAAGGTTTGCCAGGCGTGGTGACACGTGTCGGCAATCTAGCAAAAAGAAACAGCGTTCGCTGTTGGCTCAGTTTTGATCCACATTAGCGGGGCTGCTTGTGGCAGCCTTGCTGGCAGAGCCCTTTCTGCCTGAGGCAGGCTGCCCCCGGTGGTGAGAGAGACAGGTGAGGCAAGCATGAGGCCGTCCCATGTCCTCGTGGAAGCAGGAAGGGCAGGAAGATCACGGGTTCTAGGCCAGCCTGAGCTGCATGGTGAAACCCTGGCTAAAACCAACATGAAAGGCTGGAGAAGTGGTTCCGCTGCTAAAGCGTTTGCCTCGCCATTGGGAGGACCAGAAACAAACAAAAGCCAGAGGTGGTGGCATGCTTGAAATCCCAGTGCTGGAGAGAGAGTCGCAGACCCAGCCGGCCTAGCGTTCTTGGTGAGTTCCAGCCCACGGAGAGATCCTGGCTCAAAACGACAAGGTGGAGGGCACCTGAGGATTGGCAGCTGGGCTCCCCAAGTGGACGCACACACACTTGCGGGTGCACACAACAGGCACCCGTACAGTGGGAGAAACATGTGTGTATGTGTCCTCTAATAAAGCTGAAGGACTTATTCACGGGACTTTACCCTCATGATCTCTAATCCTGATCATTTCCCAAGTGGCCACCTCTGAACACCATATTCAGAGAGGCCTTACCCTCTTCCTACTTCCCACTGTGGATTAATCCATACATGGAGCCTTAGGGGACACCCCAATTATATCGAGGCCACGGCAAACTCAGAGTTCAGTGAAGTAATACTTTAGCACACTGTTTGCTCAGGGTTCCGTTTTCCGTCTTTTATACACAGACACACGCACACTCACTTTCTGAAATATCTAAAGATAGGTTATGATCATCAGACCTCTCTACCCCTAAACACTTGCACATGTGTCTACTAAAATGGCATTCTGCTGTGACATACAACCCAACTGCCATGCCCCCCAGGCATAACCCATAGGCAGGATCCTTGTCCCATAAATGTCTTTCTCTACCTCTCATGTGTTTGTTAACTGGAGCTCACACACTCTCTGGTTCTCTTCATACTATTGATACTGTGTATGTGGGAATGAGGGTACAGGAATGCCCACACTCTCTGGTTCTCATCATGCTATTGATGCTGTATATGTGGGAATGAGGGTACAGGGATGCCACCGTGCACATGTGAAGGTCAGGACAACCCCGGGGGTCTCAGTCTTCACTTTCCAACTTGTTTGAACCAGAATCTTTCTGTTGGTTTTTCTCTGCCTACACCAGGCAATCTAGCCTGCAAGCTTTGCGGGATTCTCCTGTTTCGGCTTCCCATGTCCCCTTAGAAGTGCCAGGATTACAGATACTAAGTGTCCAGTCTTGACTTGGGCTCTGGGTATATGAACTCAGGCCCTCACACTCACATGGCAAACACTTACCCACTGAGCCATCTCCCAGCCCCACCACTGATACCATTGACTAATAAGAACCATTAACCCCTTCAAAGATGCACAACCCATTCCCCTCTGATCCGATTATTTAACCATCTTGACCCTGAACAACAGGCAGGGACCTGTTGCTGCTGAGCATTGGTTGTCCTGGGGCCTGGAGAGACTGAGTCCTCCCCACTGGTTTCCTACAAGGGAAGCAGAGAGTCACAAGGAACCCCAGCCATCCTGCAGGAACCCCCAGGAACTGGCAACTGGCAGAGGAAGGAATCCTAGTCACTGACTGGGGATTTTCATCAAGCTTATTTGTGACATGAGGACCCCAGCCTCACTTCAACCCAAGATCTCTGTCCTTGACCACTGAATCCACCAGGGAAGGATTGGCAAAAATCCTAAGAGAACTGGGCTGGGGGAGATAGCTTATATGCTGCCACCCAAGTGTGAGGACCTGAGTTCTGTTCCCAGAACCCACATTAGATCCAATGCTGGGGAGTCATGGCACCGGGGGAAAGGAGACAAGCGGCTCCTTGGGGCGTACTGCGCAGCTGGTCTTGCCCAGTCAAAACCTCCAGGTTAAAGAAGAGACTAACATAGACGTCCTGACAACCTGAGTTCAATCCCCAGAAATCATGTGCTAGAGGAAAGAAAGGACTCCCAAAAGTTGTACACACACACACATGCGCGCACGCGTGCGCGCGCGCATTTGAAAACAGTTGAGACAAAAACAGTGTGGAGAGCAATCGAGTAAGACATCCGTGGTGATTTGAATGAGAAGCCCCTCCCAGACTCAGGCATTTAAACACTTGGTCCCCAGTGGGTGTCGCTGTTTGCGCAGGCTTAGGAGGTGTGGCATAGCTGGAGGAAGTACGTCACTTGGGGCGGCTTGCCTCCTTCCGGTTTGCGGCATGCTTGTCGCTGAGGACGCGACCTCTGTTTCGTGCTCTGACTGCAGTGTCTGGCTATTGCCACGCCTCCCTGCCATGGCGAACTCATCCCTCCGAAACCATAAGCCCAAATCAATTCTTCTGTGAGTTGCCTTGTCATAGCAACGGAAAAGGAACCAACAATATCTAACGTAGACCTCTGAGCGACACACACCAAACCAAAAAGTAGGGTTTGCTGCTGCAGCTGCTGCTGCTGCTGATGATGATGATGATGATGATGTTGTTGTTGTTTGTTTTTAAGACAGGATCTCACTGTCTGTCTCAGGCTGGCTTGGAACTCACTCTTTAGATCAGTCTGGCCTCAAACTCACAGACATCCACCTGCCTCTACCTCCCAAGTGCTGGGATTAAAGGTGTGTGCCCTATGCCTGATGGAGACTCACATACACAGGACTCCCTCGCAGACCCTGAATGAAGCACAAACCCCACCCAAACATCTGCTTTCACAGAGAGATCTTTTATTAAGTGAGGAGGAAAAGTTAAAGTGGCCGCTTCCTGACTCAGGCGGAAAAACAGCAGCAAATGACCTTGCAGGTGTCTTTCTCAAGAAGAGAAAGGGGAGGTCTGTGTTGGAATGGGCTGGGATGCGGTGGGATGTTTTAGTTGGCGTGTTAATTAGGTGAACCAAAGGGGGTTCCTGATTGCTGGACTTTAATTCTTTGATAGCTGGGCCTTGGTAATCAGCCTTGGGAGGAGAAAGTGGCCAAATAAGGGAATGGACCTTGGGGGCCAGCTTCAGGAATGTAACCATTAGCAAGCAGAGGGAATTGGGAGAGAGGCAAGGCCTGCTGGGGCCACGTGTTCCAGCGAGCTAATGTCCCTTCAATGCCCAACTCAAAAGAATAGTTTAAAAAAATAATCTAAGAGAAATTGCATTGGAATGCTCTCAAAGCCGCCACAGCTTTGCCCCACCCAAACATTTCACTGGGAGATTTCTTAAGTAAACAGTGGGCCTCTCTCTCTCTCAGCCTGGTTCCTCTTGAAGAATCCTGGATGAAAATGTCCTCCATTTGTGTGTGTGTGTGTGTCTCTGTCTGTCTGTCTGTCTCCAGTCGGCTCTCAAAGGCCAGTCTGGTCAAAGGCGAAATCAGACCTGAACTCCTCCCTGGAAGATGGAGTGCTCATTCAACCATTCCTGTTTACTAAAGAGGTTCCTGAAGTCTCCCTGAGCCAAACAACAGAGGCGCCTGTCCACCCCGGCCCAGCTTTTCCCTGCCTTGCTACAGAGCCCTGAAGGCCTGGGAGGAGCCCCACCATGACCTGGGCCTCCTGAGCTGCCGAGGAAACCATCCCCTTACCACTAGGACTCTTGAGTTCCAATTAATCCACTCCCGCATCAAGGCCAGCTGCCATCAACCCACAAGCCAGTCCTGTCGACTGCCCCGGGTCCTTGAGGGGATCAGCTGGGCCTGCTTCGCCTTGCCTTCTCTGGGTCTTAGCCTCGCCTGTCCTCATGCCCTGCCCTGTCGGAGCCCCTGTGCACACTGACCTTTCTGGAAGTGAAGCAGTCTCCATGTTCGAGGTCTCTGGTCACCTTAACCACCGAAATGAGCCGATGAGCCTGTCCTCTGGCCGGCCTTACGAGGAGGGGGATCCCCAAGTCCCACACGCTGGGCCCCAGGGACCTGTAGAACTTCCGGGTGGGCACTGGTGTGTCTAGGATAAGGATACTGGTAGAGTTTATTAGTGACAGGGGGGCCTCACATCAGGGGATCCCCCTGCTGGGAGAAGCCAGTTAGTTCTCATTCCCAGTGACTACATGGACCCTTCAGAAGTGGTCTGTCAGGTGGAGACTTTCATCCCACTGTGCT